ACAGAATATTAAAAGCAGCCAGAGAAAAGATGCAGATTACCTACAACGGGAAAACTATCAAAATAACAGCAGACTTATCAACACAAACTCTTAAGTCAAGAAGGGAGTGGGGAGAAATATTCCAAGTCCTGAAAGAAAATAATATGCGGGGCTGGGGATTTAGCTCAGCGGCATAAGCGCCTGCCTTGCAAGCAGGCGGTCGTGAGTTTGATCCCTGGTACCGGCAAAAACAAAAAAGACCAAAAAAAAAAAAAAAAAAAGAAAATAATATGCAACCAAAGCTCATATACCCATCAAAACACTCTCTCAAAATTAATGGAGAAATAAGATACTTCCAAGACAAGGAGGAACTGTGGGAGTCCGTGGCCACCAATCCAACCCTACAGAGAGTGCTGAAGGACATTACAGAGAAAGAGAGGAAGAGATACCAGGATTCCGGCAACAGTGGCAGAGAGGCCTCAGTGAATGGGGCAGACAGTGGAATGAGGGAATAAGGTGGACAAATTATAGCAGAAAAGTGGAGTAGCAGACATGAGGCAGAGACAGTAAGCTATAGTCTTTAGTATAGACAGCTCTGAAACTCTATAAAAAAAAAGGCAGAGGTCATTGTTACTGGTGTATAAGGATTTAAAAGACACAGTAGTCTTATTGCCATATTTAGTTTGAATTTAATTTGTTCTGGTCTGTCCACTCATGTCAGATTTGAGGGCACAGACATCTTGACCCAAAAATAGCAGGTTATACCATGGTAACTATCCTTACTTTCCTATTAACTTAAACTGAAATCCTGTATTACTTACATTGTCTTCCTATGACTGATCTTAATTGAATCTGAATCATAAGACTATGGGTTGGCCTTGGCTGATTTTATTTGAAATTGGTATGCTTGTTAGTATCAACCCTAAAAGTAGAGGAAACTACTCTGAGGATGACAAGATGTAAAGGATATCCATACTGGTATTAATTAGTAACAGCTCTCAAATCCTACAATGCTGTCAAAGTTAAGTTTTTGTAAAAATAGGTGATACTATGTTTAACTATAATAAGCCAGTGTTGTGGACAAATCTATTGAAAATAACAAGAGAAAACATAGTAACTACGGAAAATCATCTATATTGTGGTCTTATATGTCTTATCCATTGCATGTTTTTCTAGGAAATTGTTTTGCTATCTTGCTATGACTTGGTTTTCCCTATAATACAGAGAGGATAGATATATATGTATAAATTCACACATGGGTTTTTTTTTAATTATTTACAGGAACAGATTATATAATGCAAGATGTAATGAACAGATACTCTGAGGAAGAGACGCTAAGAAACCCGAGGCTAATTTTGTAGCATTATGATATAAATTCTAGCAATACTATTGTTCGCTGATTAGAATGACATTGGACTGGTTTCTTGAGTTCAATTTCAGCATATGTAGAGATAGGGACAGCTATCACAAAGAGAATGAGAGATGTGATGGTAGTTGCTATTGTCTTCCCTAATTTGGAATTGAGGACCTAAAAAGCCTCCAATGATTTGATTAGTTCTATAATATGCAATAAGTATATAAAGTGGGTGAAGATGGGGACAACTATTTGTAAGAAACTAGAGACAGTTAGATAGACAATGAAGATCTCCAGTGGACTTGCTTTGAAATCTGTATTTCTTTAAATTGTTTTTTTAACTGCTTTGTTCTGTTTTGATATGTTTAACCTTACCTTCTTTGAGATGTAAAACAAATGTGTAGGACTGATAACCATATTACTGAGCTTTTGTTCGATCAGAGAGCAGAACGGTTTGTAGTGTCACTTTTTGAATGTCATTCTAAATACTTTAATTCTATAACATGAACAGCTATTTCTAAGATGACAATGTGTAACTTATCAATCAGCAATTTCTTACTGTTTGTTTTTCTGTAAGTTTGTATTATTTCTACCCTTTTTTATCTCCATGTATTTTTTTGTTTCCTTTTCTTTAAAAAAAAAAAATGCTAAAAGAAGAGGCACCAGAGATTTAGCTCTGCTGCATAAGTGCCGGCCTGGCAAGTATGAGGTTTTGAGTTTGATCCCTAGTGCAAAAAAAAAAAAAAAAAAAAAGCCAAAAAAGAAAAGGAAAACACACTCACACCCTAAAAAAAAGAGAAGGTCCAGCTGGATGTGATGGAGCACACCTGTAAATCCAGCACTCAGGAGACTGAGGAAGGAGGGTCATTGCAAGTTCAAGACCAGCCTGGACTACAAACTGAGCTCAAGGCCAGCCTCAACTACATATTAAGACCCTGTCTCAAAAAGGAAAGAAGGGAAAAAAAGAAAGAAAGAAAGAAAGAAGACCAAAAAATCCAAAATCCAAAAAAAGTCCCCTGTGCTTTTGAATGAGTCTTTGCTTTCCAGGGTCTGCAGCTTTGGCACCCAGAAAACATGAGGAGGGACAGTGAGTCATTGTTGAGACCTGTTTTGCTTCCACACTTACATTTCTGTATGGATGTTGGACGCTGCCCTGCCTTTTCTGCTGGACATGGGCAGTCAATGGTGTCGGCCTGGAGGCTGCGCTCACTCTAGCAGCTCCCACTTTCCTTGTCCCTCTGTGCACCCCAAGTCAGTTTTCTCCCACTAGCTTTCAGCCTGTGGATTTGTGAGGTGTCCCCACTCCTGCTCCAGAGGCCCCTTTATATGCCCAAGGCCATGGCAACCACCCAAATGGAACTGTACCATTGCTCATGTTAGAAACACAGCTGAATTCCGAGGTAGATGTAGGTGGGGTGAGAATCAGGCAGTCTGCTAGACCTAATGCCTGTACCTGCAGACCCAGCCCTTCTCTAAGTCATAGTTGCCTGGTCTGGTTTCTCAGCATGGAGTTTGGGACACCCACATCCCTCCTGGTCTGAGCTTAAACTCCCAGGGGGCTCTGGCCAGCCTGCACACCTTCACTAATACATCCTGGGGCCATCTCCCACCCAGTCACTGCGGAAGGGTGACACCAGATCTGCTCTGCAGTTGCTCTGGGCTCAGTCCCAAATAATTAATCCCTCCTCAAATGGCTCTGGGTTAAATCCTCTCAAATGTGGCAGGCACCAAACTGCACTTCCTCCCCAACTTCATCCTGCTTTACAAAAGGGCCACTTTCAGAATAAAATACTGTGTTTTTGCAGTTTATAGTAGCTGAGGGCTTCTCTCAGTGTCTCTCCCTAGAGCCACCCCCATCTCTCCTGGGCAGATGCCCCTCCCAGGAGCTGAGGGGAGCTTGGAGCCCTCCCCATTCCTGAACCCCTGCACTGGTTCATCTCTCTGGCTTTGCAGTTTCCAGTCTTCCTAGCAGCTCCTTCCCCATTCACCTCCTTCCTTCTCTTCTCTACATTGTAGTTTGACTCTAGACCCCGGAAGTCTACACTTTGCTGGCAGCCTCTACTCCACCATTTTAGGTTTCCTACTTTTTACTTTTGATGATGTTCTTGGATGCATAAAGATTTTTAAATTTGATGAAGTTCAGTTCGTCCTTTTGTGCATGTGCTTTTCGTGTCATGTCCAGGAAATCAATGCCAAAACCAATGTCATTAAACTTTGCCCCTGTCATCTTCTAAAAATTTTATTAGATTTTTCTTTTTGGATTTCATTGTATTTTGAGTTAGGTGCCGCAGATGACCTCCTCATCTCTAGCAATTGAGAGTTGCCTTTCGTCCTGTCCAATTCAGCTCTGTATTTTGTATTTTCAATCTTTGTTTTGTATTTTCACTATGTTTTTATCATGCATGCATGTTTTCAGGCTTGAAGCTCACTTCCCTATGAGCTCTGTTGAGCAGTTTAACCAGAAGTGTCACTGATTTTTGTCTTGCTTTTCTTGTATTTCAAATATATTGTGACCACAGCATGTTTGGGGATTGTTGGGTCAGGTTCTCTGGTCATGGTCACAACTCAGGTGGGCGTGGGCTGAGAATGATACAGGACAGGGGGCGTCTGTGAGTGGAGGAAAATGGGAAGGATCTCTTTGGAGGAAAGATGGAGCTGCGCTCCTCAGACCATGTGTGTCAGAGTACTGGACAGGAACCAAGATGTGGCAGAGGGCTGAAGGCTGTGGCTGGTGCTGAAACACACATGGACAAGCACCCTGACCCGAATATCTGCATCTGTTTCTACCCTGCTGCTCCCTTGACTGCACACATGTAATGCTCAGCTTTTCTGCAGTAGCAGGTCTAAAGGTGAGAAGAAATGCTTTGAATAGCTCCAGGGATGAACATGTGTCCCGCGAAAGAAGAAAAGAAAGACCAAAACATGTGAATATAAGAGGGCAATTCAGATGAACACAAACAATTGGGTTTGCAGAGCCTGAAGACGCAGAAATGTCACTTTCATGTATTTATCCACACTCCATGTACCCATCCATCATTCTACCCATCTATTTAGAGGCAACCCTAGCACTTGGGTCTCATCAGTCTCTGGTTCAGATCCAAGAGTGGCTCCACTGAGCATGGTGGCACACACCTGTAATCCCAGCACTTGGGAGGCTGAAGAAGGAAGAAAATTGCAAGTTTGAGACCAGCCTGGCCTACAAAGTGAGCTCAAGCCCAGCCTGAACTGCATAGCAAGACTCTGTCTCAAAAACACATTAAAAAAAAAAAAAAACCAGGGGATTGGGGATTTAGCTCAGCGCATAAGCACCTGCCTTGCAAGCAGGCAGCTGTGAGTTCAATCCCCAGTACCCATAAAAAAAACAACAGGGGCGCCAATCCCACCGCACTCTTTCTACTTGCAGATGAACCCAAGTGGAAAAGAGGAGTTCTGATTTAAAAGTCCAGAGTCCTAAGTTCTCTGCTTGGCTTTGTAGCTCACTGTTCTGAACCTCAGAGGAGACCTCCTCACCAATAAAACTGGGACAGTTTACCAGCGGATGGGTGGAGACTCCAGATTGAACACTCCATGCCCAACCTTTAAACCATTGCTGTCATAATATGGAGTTTGCTTGTGAATGGCACAGAGCTTCTCCCAGCTTTGCTGTTTTCTTGGTCATGGGAACAAGATGCACTTCACCTCCTTGGGGATGCTATCTGTTCCACCTGACTTCTGGAAAAAGTCAATGCTGGAGAGTCCGACCGATGGGCGGGCGGTGGAATGTCAGACCTCTGCCTGGGACTTCTACACTGGCAATGACTTCAGGTAACTATCATCAACACTACAATTCCACATCCTCCTCCCATCCCACATCTGCCTGTCATAGGCCACATAAGGGAGGAATAAGCAGATGAAGGCCCAGCCAAAGGAGTGGAGATGTAAGCCAAAAGTACAGAAGAGGAGATGGACGTGGAAGCCATGGTCTTGGTCACTGATTGGATATGGGGCTTGGAGTGGGAAAAGATAGCAACCAAAGCCCTCTGATCTCCAGCTTGTTCATGCCAGATACTTAAAGAGGATGAATGGAGAAGTGTGCCAACCTTCCCAGGTCATTTTCATGCTCTTGATCCTTGTCCTTTAACTCTAGGATAAAGAAATGCACTGAAGTGACCATAGAAGACCTGCTCTCAGTCTTCCAGCAGATGGTTCATATCCAATACTTCATGCAATACCAGAACCTGTCTGTAATTTTCCGTGAAGATGCCAACCCGGCTTTTGAAGAGGCTGTGGGGGCAAAGGTCACACGCTCTTCCTCTTCCCACAGGCACTTGTCTACCACAGGCCTGATCAACCTCCTGCAGCAGGACTCAGGTTGTGGGGACCAAAGGGACAATAGGAAGGCAGCCTGAGCCTGGGGTTGCAGCTTGAGGGGAGTGGGTGGGGCCATCCAGGCATGGGTAAAGGAAGGGAGAGCTCTGGAGCCAACCTCTAATTGCCCTGACCTCATCCCCAGAGGAGGAAGTCAATTACCTGATGGGCATGGCCCTGCAGAAGATTGCCTTCATCCCCTTCAGCTATCTAATGGACCTGTATCGCTGGAGGGTCTTTGATGGCACCATTGAGAAGAACATCTACAACCAGGAGTGGTGGAACCTCAGGTGGGAAGGTGCTGCCTTGGATTTTCAGCTCCATCCTCACACGTGACCACCATTGCCAGAGGGTGATGTTGGCCTCTCCTTTTAAAGCAGAGTGGGGTACAATGTTGGTGAATCTCAGGCTATGAGAAGCCCCAAGGCAGTGTGGGATGTTTGCAGCCAGCAGACAAAAGCACCCATGCTGTAGTGCATAGAGCCAAATGTGGGGAATCCTGAAGCCTCCTTCTGAATGTGACACTGGCACTGAACTGGTCTCAATCTCTCCAGCTTTAGTCTCATCTGTGAAAAAGGCATCCTGGCAGGTTCCCCCTGCTAACTGGTAGGCTGGGAAACTCCCATCAGGATTGCTCCTAGAATTCTTCAAGAACAGAAGATTGACCACAAGGCAGGCCCCCTCACCTCCCTACCTCCCTCTTCCCACAATGAGGCCCAGAGTGAGACAGATGAACAGGGCCTCAGCACTTGTCCTCTGGGAAAGAGTGACCATAGGAGGGAGGCAGGCTCGCTTCCCTAACACACAGGCCTGGCTGCCAGAGGCTTGGCATCCCAAAGCTATCAAAGGAGTCCACCCACAGTTAGGCAGGGCATTTGGTTGGATAATAATACGGATGAGCAGGGCTTCTCCATATCCACCAGGTGTCAGAATGACTGGCTTAAGGCTGCTGGACACAGGATGACATGGATTACTGTGTAAGACCTGCAGCTCCTTTGCTATCGCTCTGTGTTGTGCTCATTCAAAATGGTCATTTCCCAGCAGTGGTAGCCAGCACTGACAGGCCACATGTCCAGGCTGAAGTCCCACCCTAGCAGGGGCAGAACTGGGTGCTCCTCCTGCTCCTGTTGTTCTCCTACCCCCAGTCCATGATTTCAAGGGCATATCTCTGGTGGACTGGGCAATGCCCGGACCTTGTTTCCTCCAAGAGCACTTCCCCTCACTACCCCTGCTATCTGAGGTATCCACAAGGACATTGTCCTTTCTCTACCAGCCACGCCCACCACCAACCAGCCAATGAGCCCCAGGACTGAGTGAGGGTTTGCTCCCTGGACCTTGAGCCAGGAACCCACAGAGGACCTCACAACAGTCTACTCACCCCTGGGAATGAACCAACAATACAACATTGAGTTGTATATGGGAGCATAGACATTGTCAGATCCCTATGATGGATCATTTTATTCCATTTTGTAGTCATTGTATAAGAAGACTCAGTGACAGTCCCACAATCTCCCACAGCAGCACAGTGCAGAGGAACAAAACAGCCTCACCTAGTCAGTCTGCCAGTGACTAGTGCTGGGTCCTAAGGCCACTTCCTTGATATCTAAATCTTGGTTTCCTCATCTGTACAATGCACACAATAATAGTAGTACCATGCCACAGGCGTGTTTCTCTGTTGTCTTCTTGGCACTATTTACTAGAGGAAATTACCTCATTACTGATCCAAAATCTGTTCCCTTTCATTAGGATGGATGCAAGCAGAGACTTGGCCTTGCTCCTTTCCTCTGTGACACCTCTCCAGAGACCAGGCCTGTGTTGAGAGAGTGCAGGAGTCCATAAACACAGCTCAGTGCACAGAGGAAGTGCTCAGTCGATGTTATCTGCTCTTATGGTTTTATTTTGATTCCCGATCCCAGGTGTTTTCAGTTATTGAATGAATGAAAATATGTCCACTGTTATCTGCATGCCAGGTCCAATTTCAACAGACACTCACAGGAGCTTGGAAAAACCTTATGTTCTGAGATCCTTCAGGGGCCTCTAGCAGGACCTTGTTTTTCTCCTGGCGGGTTAGAGTACCAAGGCCTGTGCCCACGTGTTCCTCGGATAGAGGATGACTTTGACCCTGCTGCCAAGTTCCATGTTGCTGCCAGTGTGCCCTACATGCAGTAAAGCTCTGGGCCCTATCAGCAGAGTCAGCTCTGGAGGTGGGCTTTGGGAGGCATGGGATGAGGCTGATGGTCTCTAGCAAGGCCCTGGGTTCAAATGCTACCCGTTCCTCTGCCTACCTCTTCCCACCTGATTGTACAGCCTTGTTAGGTCTGTGCCCTGCAGTCCTTTGGGTTTCTCCATTAGATCCTGGGTGAAGGGCAGAGAAGGTGGGAATATTCTAATCTAAATCCTCCCTGCTGCCACCAGGGGAGAAAGGAAAGGGGAAGGTAAGGGTAGGATTCACCACTGGTTCACAAAGGTACACAAGGAAGGTCCTTGTATTCTAGGCCAACGTAAGGCAGGACCTTGCTCAGGCAGCCTGCACTCAGGTGGAGTGATTGTTGGCATGCACCCATTGGCCTTTGCAAACTGGAGCTGCCTAGGCTGAAGTGGCCTGGGGTTTCTCAACCCTGATCCTGTCCCCCAACCTGCCCTTGTGTTCCAGATATTTCCTTAGCACGGTGCTCCAGTTCCAGTTGCATGAAGCTCTGTGCAATGCCTCGGGCTACGTGGGTCCACTGCACCAGTGTGACATCTATGGCTCAAAGATAGCTGGGAGGATCCTCGGGTGAGTGGCCTCTTCCCTCGTTTGTCCTCAGCTGCTCTGTCTCCCTTGGATGCAAACCCTGCTCAAGACCCCCTTTCCTCACCCAGCCTCCTTGGGCTACCAGGGCAGAACTTCACTGAGCTTCCATCCTGCTGCTAGATCACCCTCATGTCAGACTGCACTCTTTCCTACATGAATTGGAGCACGTTTCTTCTTGCTGACCACTTTATGGTCAGACACTATTGGGCCCTGTCTGCTAAGCACACACATATAGACACACAGACACACAGACACTCGCACAATCAAAGCATCTTTCCTGCTCTGTGGTGTTTCGTTTTGTTTCATTTTGCCCTTGAAGTAGACTTGGAGAGTCTGGGGAACCTGAATTCAAGGTACAAAGCTCTTAAGGCACACCAGGCTCTCTGATGAGTGTCCTTACTGTTTCATACTAGTAGCACTTAGCTTTGCAAAATAAATGTTATTATATGACTTTTCAAAATAATGCAACCAAAGGTCAGGGAGGTCACAGGATAGCGATTCATGGATGCAACAAGGAGGAATTCTATGCTTTGAACCCAGAGCTGACTCCAAAACATTGTCTTTCACACTGCTGCCTCCATCAGTTAAAGGATAAGAGCCCGGGTGAAATTAACTTCAAGTCTACACCAGCAACTGAGATGTGTATCTCATACACTGCTGTGGGCTTTTTTCCACTGATTTCCACTAATTTCAATGTGTCTGTTTCCCTAATTGGTCAAGGTTGCTTTAAATCTTATTCGTGTTCCCAGAGGATTCAGAATGTCACCTAATTTAGTATCCTCTGCATATTTAATGAGCGTACTTGTGAGTCTACCATGCAGTACGCTTGTAGCCAGCAGGCCAGATGGAGTTGCAGGACTGGCTCCCTGGGCTTTATTCACAAGGCGAGAAGAACCATGCATGACCTACATCTCCCTTGTCTATTTGCTGTTTACCATTTCTTACTATGAGGGGACATTCTGGATGATTCCTAGTTTTGAGCTTTTCTGAGGATCTTCAATATAAACGCACCTCTCTCCTTGTTGTATTCTTATCCCCTCATGTATTCCCTCAGCAAAAATGTACTCGTGCCAGTGCCAACCAACCACCATGAATCCAGCAGGGTGAAGGAGATCTGAAATAATTAGACTCCACACAATGAGAGAGGTGTGGAAGGCCTTGGTGGAGGGTTAAGAGATTGTGTTTGGAGAATAAGGAAGGATCTCTGTACTAAAGAAATAGCAGATGTCTGTTTTCTTTACATCAACTCACTTTATTTCCTCCTTCTCCCACCTCCTTGATGGGGCATTTCACCTTGGTCATTCTTACCACTTCCGTCCTCCACCCACCCTGGGTGTAGAGGGCTGTCAGGGTCTGACTGGCTCCAAAGAAGATGACCAGTCATACTCCACCCTCGCTCACCAGCCCTCCTACATTACCATGCAGACCCTGATCCAGGAAGATACTGACTCTTCCAAACTTAGAGCCTTAAACATCATTTTCTTGGCAGTGGGCAGATGAGAGGCTCCTGAGAAATGAGGATATTACAAGCTTTGTGAAAGTTGAAATGGCAGCAAAGAGGAATGTGGGGTTCACAAGGGAGAGAGAAAAGACAAGGTGGGGGCTGAGAAGAAGGAAAAAGCAGCTGTTACTGCACCTGGCCAGGTTGGCCTGCTGAATTATACACCAATCACTGAGCAAGTGAGCATCAGAAAAGAGAAGGAATGAGAGGAGTCACTCAACTCTGAAGGCTAGGACATGGGGATATCCATGAGCTCAGGCATGGTGTAATTGGAGGTTAACTAAACGTAGGGGTTGGGTAGGTAACTTAATGGTAGAGCACTTCACCTACTAACAAAGCATGAGGCCTGGGTGCAATCCTCAGGATCACCACCAAAGAATAAATAAATGAATAGATAAATAGGTAAAAGTGAGATGGGTTCATTTTAAAGAGTTTATTCAGGACTTCTCTGTTTTACAGCAGGGCAGAAGAAAGAGGGGTTTAGCTGCTCTTTTGCCTTTGTGAAATGGAGTCTTGCTGTGTAGCCCTGGTATATTTCAAACTCTAGACCCCAGACACTTCTGCTTTACCTTCCAAATTATATTGAACCACAGGGAGCATTTCACTGAACCCGACATGCCTAATGCGTCTTAAAATTTGATTTTGCTACCTTTGACTCATCCTCTTAAATCTAAACACCCTGGCCAGGTGTTGGGAATGGAGAGTCAAAGTGGACCCCATTTAATTTCCCAAAGTTGCTCTACCTCAGGCAGCCTGCAGTGTTCGGTGGGTCTGGCTTTGTCCATGACCCAGAGATTGTCACTTTAGACTTGAGGGGTTCCAGGCAATGCTGGCTGACAGCTTTACAGTCTCTGGCCTTCTGTGCTTTCTCCACCAGCTGCAGACTGGACTCAGCTCACACATCTCTTCACATCAGCCTATAGTCTTCTTTCTGAATGGTTAGATTTTCAGTAACTGAAGATTCCCTCTTCTAGCTTTTTCTTTTTTTTTTTTTTTTTTTTTATTGGTACCGGGATAGAACTCACGACCACGCGCTTGCCGCTGAGCTAAATCCTCAGCCCCACTGTTAGCTTTTTCTTTTCACCCAAGATAAAGCATCTGACCAAATCCTCTAGTCCAGGGCTTTGTTTTGTTTTGTTTTTAATTGTGGCAGGTTTTTACCTCAATTTTTTCTATCAGTCTTGACAATCTTTTCCCTTAAGTTTTCAGGGATCCTAACTACATTTTTCTGCATTAGGGTCTGCCAAGAATCCACTATTCTTTAGTTTCCCAATCTTCTTCCTTCCCAGTTATTAAATGATGTGTATTACTCTTTGCAAGTTACAAAGTTCTCCTTAGTCATTAGGTGATTTAATTCTCACTGTGGGGAAGTTTTCATGGAACCATTTACTGAAGAGAAAATGCAGTCTGTGAGAAGCTTTAAGTTGTATGCCAGAAGTTACAGGTGCAGAAGTAGCAGGGCTGGGTTTACAATCTGGATCTGTGTTAGACCAGACCCTATTGGTGCCATCTGGGACTCTAGACCTCACCTTTTTATTGGGCAGATCAGGGAATGAGATTAGCATCTCTACCAGCCACTGCCCTGCCACAAGTCAGGCTGAAGAGCCTGGAGCCCGGGCTTTGGCATAGCCTGTACCCCTACTGAGCAAGTGCAATGGGCCAAGCCAAGGTTCTACCACCTGCTACCTAGTGCTGGGTGTGTCTTGAGACAGCAGAAATTTGTGTGGTGCTGCACGTGATACACAGAATATTTCCCACATTCTTGAGATCTTGAACCTTCCTAAACTGTGTAAGACCAGAAAGGATTGAAGAGCTGCTTCTGCCCACTGACACTGAACATTTCACAGGAAATTGTGGCTCAGACTTTATGTCTATTTGAGTCCAGGAGAATAATGATCACAACTGTCTAATAAACATCAGTGGCAGTTAAAGATTAACATTTATTGCCTCTCAGCATTGTAGCAAATGTATAAGGCAGATACTGGTATTATCTTGATTTTATCAGTATTGAAGCTGAGTCCCAAATAAGTACTAAGCTAAACTTCAAACTCAGATGAGTATATTTCAAAGCTGGTGATTATGTCCACTATGCTGAGCTCTGTGGGAGGAGTCTGGTTGGCAAAGCCTGGAGGGACACCAAGTAGTCATAGCAGTACTTGTGGACACCCCCACACATGGCCTTACAGTTATTCTCACACCTTCCAGGCATGCCCTGAAGCTGGGCTCCAGCAAGCCCTGGCCAGAGGTTCTAAAGGAGCTGACTGGGCAGTCCAATATGTGTGCAAGTGCCCTCATGACCTATTTCAAGCCACTGCTGAACTGGCTAGTGGCTGAGAACATGTGGCAGGGTAAAATCCTAGGATGGCCAGACTACATCTGTTCCTTTTCAGGTTAGTTAATCTGATTCTGAGCCCAGCATTAGTGTAACCCTAGGCTGTAACCTGCTCTTCCTTGGGCCATTCTCTATGCCAACTCAGCCATAACTCTCAGGCTGTCCATTGCCCAGCTTGAGCTGGCACAGCACTGCTGCTAGCTAACTTTTCTGTACTTGGCCTGAGTATAGCCATGCCCAGCCCTGGCTCAGTTGCTTCTTGCACACCACCCAGCCAGATTGCCAGGCTGGTGTCTGAGCACAGGGTCAGTATCTTGCCTCCTGACTAGGTTCCCTGGTGTATGTCACCTTACCCATGCCCATATCTTTCTCTTCCTTCTATTCTTTCACATCCTCCTTCTCACCCATAACCTGAGGCTGAAGGACAAGTCCAGTAGCAGTCAGATCCCCCCAACAGCTACAGAAAACCTAGGACCCCCTTGCTAGGCCCACCTGCTCTGTGAGATGTTCCTGTCTTCTGCAGAAAGAAGTACAAACAAAGTGGCATTACTGGGTCTGCAGATGAAGCCTGACCAGGTTACATTTGGGCTGTGGATACTTCTGGGTTTGAGCTTTGTCATGTTCCTGGTGCTCCTGGGTATGGCCTACAGACTGGACTTCCTAGAAAAATGGTCAGGAGACCAAGACGTCCCAATAATCAGCACTTATGCCTACTTCCTGAGTGTGCCCATGGAGCTCCGACAGGCCGCTCGAAGACAGTGGATTCTGCTGGGCCTCTTCTTGATCCTACTGCTGTGCACCATCAGCCTATCTATTCGGATCTTCACACACAACCACAAGAAGTCTTCAGGGATGAGAGCTGACTAGTAGAGCAAGGACTAGCCACCACTGACACTGGTGAGGCTGAGGGACAGGGAGGGCCTGAACCCTGGAGGGTGGATGACAAAGAGGGAACAATCTTAAGGCATACTGTCCACCTATGCTTGCACCTGTGCAACTGAGACACACCTGGATACATGTAGTGTTTTGATTGTGTGTTTGAAAACCCAAATGTGAGTCTATGTGCACAGGCAGCAATTCTGTGTTCCAGGCCACACTACCCACCTGCCTCTGCAAGGTTCGGGATCCACAGTTTTATTGACCTAGTAGCTATGTCCTTTGAACTGGCTCTTACTCCACAACTGATTCTTCAAAGAGCCTAGATTTGGCTTAAGAATGCAGCTATAGAGTTTGGAAGGCTATGTGGGATTTGGCTGGCTCTGCAGAACCCTAGAACTTTGTTCTAGTTAGAAAAAACACCTTGCTTCAGTCCCCTTACAAAATGTTCCCAAGTAGCCCTGGACATTCCTTTAAACATGGTAATGTCTAGTTCATAAGCACTGTGTACCATGCATCTCTTCACTGATCTGGCCCTGTGTTTGGCTGTGTAATGTGCTGTGGTACTAATCAGCTCTCTGTGGGCCACCTGAGATCCAAGTAGTCTCACAAACTGCCCCGTGGTTCTTCCTAACCCAGCACAGGCCCTCTCTAATGGAGACAGTGGGTAGCTGGGCATTAAGCCAGGCATGATTAATGATTGACTTCTTTAATATTTAAACAAAGCTCATCTCCAGCCACTCTGCTCCGGAGATGGCCTTGTTCAACACACACACCTGCCGCCTGGCTGGTTGCCCTGGGGAACAAGCAGAGGACAAACAGCACCTTTCCAGGCTCAATAGGGGTGGGGGAAGATAATGAGAAGAGAGCTGTAGGAGGATATATGAGACATTAGTGTTCTAGGAATAGGCCTGAGAAAGGATGGGGTGGGTCCCTTCCAACTCTTCCTCTCCAGTTTGTTGGCCACAGCGATACCACACCCAATATTTTAGGACTGGCTAAGTCTGGACTAAGGCTCCAGGAGTTCCTGAGAGTCCTGAGAGCCACTGTGTGTCAGAAAATAGGGGAAACTTCAGGGGAAGTATATTATAGTTAGAAAACACAGAGAAGGGGCACCAGAGCTCCTGCTGAGTTGATAGGAAGATGGCCAAATGACTGCAACAGCTCTCCCCAGATTAAGGATCTGAGCCTCAAAGTCACAAGTTCAGGGCACAGAGGTAGCACACCAAGGTCTCTATGGCTCTTTTCTCTTCTTATATATATATATTTCTAGACATGTTCCTATGTTATGACTGAACCCAAGTACTTCCTGCCCCAATCCCCAATTCCATAGCACTTTCATTTGTTGTGTCTGTGGCTGTTTTTACCTTGCTGTACTGTAAAATTGTTATTTGTGCCAATGATTAGCTGTTAAATACCCACGTCAGGAGTATATCCCTGTGTAACATTTCTAGTAAGTGAAAATGTTTGAATGAGTAAAAGAATGCATGGATGTCCCATTGCCCAAGTCTCTCCTCAGAGCTCAGCATCCTACACACTGAGCCTGTGAAAACCACCTCATTTTTCCTCCTCAGCCAGCCTGACCCTCCACACACAGGGGGAGCCAGGACACTTTTGCCTTTCTCCAGGAGGCCACACCAGCAGCCCTCTCATTTCCCAGCTACAGTGGCCAATGAGGCTTCCATCAGGCATTGTGGTTCTGCGTGGCAAATGCACACCTAACCAGGACCCCTAGACTACACCAGATTCCAGCAAAAGCCTCAGTGAACCTCCTTGGTCATCCTTCCCTCATCACCCCCTCATTTAAGGTTTATTTTGCCCAAATATGTCCTTCAAAATCTTCAGGTTTCTTCCAGAATCTGTTATCTGCTTGAGAACTTGGTTGCCCACCAATTAAATCTAGATACTAAAAATGGCAGCAGAGAGTTTTTATCAGTTAACCTTTACCCCCCACTACCTAGCTCACCCCTCCCCAGGGCCATCATCTTCAGCCTTTGCCTTAGGCACATCCTCCATTTTGAATGTCCGACCTCTTAGCTCAAAATTGACCACTGGACCTTCTGCAGCATTCCAAGCCCACCAAGATGCTTAGAAACAGTGGTCCCCCTTACCCTTCTGTCCTAGAACACCTCTTTCAATAAACCTCTCTCCATGCATCCATTTCTTCTAGTAGGCTCACTTGCAGTCAGTACTCATGCATCAGTGGTCACTTACTAATAAGTGGTTTAAAATTTGCCCTTTCAAGCTATGTCTGAAGGCTAAGAGCTCTCAGGCTTCTAAAGAAGGCACTTTATTGCATATTTTATGTACATTCGTGTGTATTCTAGCCCAACCTGCCAGGACTAGGCTTTGGCTGAGTCTGCCACCAGGCATACAGGATGAATACTGGAGCCTGACTGGAGGCTACTTGTCACTGGCTGACCAAAAACCTAAGTGTATCATTATCACAATCAGGCCCAGAGGTCAGACTCTGGACAGAGCCTTTAACAAAAGACCACCTGTGGCCCCAAAGAAATCCTTCCGCTTGCAGTCTCCTAATGTTATCCTGTATTTATTGGGAGAGAAAACTGCCCTTCAGTACCCGAAAGGGGGTCCAGGAGAGGCTGAGGCCTCAGAGAATTCTTCTCCTTCCCGAGTCGGTGCCATATTCCACACCCTAGGGTTCATGACCTAGTTTCTACCAGGTGGCCCCCAGAGAAACTGCCTAAGCTCCAGAGAACGCCACAAGCCCCGGTGCACGCTTCTTTCAGCACCACAGCGTGGACAGCTCCCGGGCAGCAGAGGAGGGGAGGAGGCGTGGCGGGCTGCGGTTGTGGAAAGGAAGCGAAGGACTGTAGCAGAGGGGCCGGGAGAGGCGGGGAGAACTGGGGAGGACTGGGGAGGCCGTCGCTGGAGGGCGGAGCCGGGAACCGACGGCCCTCCCCCGGGGCGGCGCCCACCTGGAGTCCACACCACTGAGCCCCAGGACAGCCAGAGACTGCGGGGAGCCCGGGGTGCCGGTAACTCTGGGTTGGAGCCAGGGAAAGATGCCGGTCCGTAGGGGCCACGTCGCGCCCCAAAACACTTACCTGGACACCATCATCCGCAAGTTCGAAGGCCAGAGTGAGTGTGTGTGTATTGGGCTGGGGATGGGGGCGATCCGGAGTGTTCCGTCAGTGGCAGGAGCAGTCAGACTCCTTTACTAACTTATGTTGGGGCAAACGGGGGAGCGGGTGCCATTGTGAATGCAAAATCCTTCACTTTGAGGCCTCCTAAACACCTCCATCCTGGAAAACAGCACAATGGAGCTCCTCCCTCTCCCAGCAGAATACTTTTCTTGGTGCTCAGACCCTGGCTTCCTTTGTAATCCGGGCTCTGCTTTCCTCTCCAGACTTTACCCCCAACTCTAAGGGTTTCCTTGACTCCTTCCCTTTCGCCTGGCCAGGCTGCTCTCCCAGGTCTAACTCCCCACTGCTTACATCCCTGCTCACCTGACCCTTCTTCACTATCCTCAGGTCTTGAGCCTTTCTCTCCCTTCACCAACATTTGCCGCCCTGCTTTTCCCGGTCTCCAGGACCGAGCCCCCTCTCCTGCTTACTGGTCACCATCTGCCCCCTTCTCCTTCACCCTCACCCCTTACTCTCTGGAGAATGACTTTCCCCTTGAGCCCTCCCCAACCTGTCTTCCCCTCCTTCCAGTCCTGTTCCCTCAACTAAATTCCAACATCTAAATTCCCTTTCCTGCTGCCACAGTCCCTGTAATCTTTCCCTGCCCGATGCCCAGGGCTGGCTTCCAGAGTCGCCCTACCTCTTACCTCCCACCCAGGTCGAAAGTTTCTGATAGCCAATGCTCAGATGGAGAACTGCGCCATCATTTACTGCAATGACGGCTTCTGTGAGCTCTTCGGCTATTCCCGAGTGGAGGTGATGCAGCGACCCTGCACCTGCGACTTCCTCACAGGCCCCAACACCCCGAGTAGTGCTGTGTCTCGCCTGGCGCAGGCCCTGCTGGGGGCTGAGGAGTGCAAGGTGGACATTCTCTACTACCGAAAGGATGGTGAGAGCCACATTTGGGCTAGGGGTTCTGCGGGGCACGCTTGGCTGGCCTCTCTCTTGGCCCACCAGATGACCTGGTAAATCTAAGGTAAATCTAATGACAAACGGGCCTGGACTAATCCTGCCCTCACTCTCTGGGCCTCAGTTTCCTCATGGTAGGGGACAGCAATGAGTTTTGGATGCTCTGCCATCTGTGGTCTTTTTCAGAGGCTTGGGACAGGTTCATCCAGCAACTGGTAGAGGCATGGGGCAGAGCCTCCTGCCCCATCATCCCTCCCCTTTGTCCTCAGTCTCTTGGCTGTCCACTTTGTCACTGTCATCTTCAGCTGTCAGGCATCTGCGATGGAAATTAACCTTTCCTCATGTGAGTCTGCTCTGGGTATGAGGGGAGGAGTCACCCCTTTAAGGCCTGTGCAGTCAGGGAAGGTGTGGGAGCTCCTGCCTGGTTCATCTAGCTGCAGCTCTTTGAGAAGATAGAGTCTGGAGTTTTCCCCAACCAAGAAATTTATCCAGGTAGATTTTGGATTACTGCTGGTACCCAAAACCATTGCAAGCAAAATAGTCAGGGACTGAGCAAAGCCCAGCAGGCTTTGAGCTCATCCTCCCAGAACTATAGTGTGCCTGGCAGAGCTGGGAAAGAAGTGTTAGTGGGAACTAGGACCAGTTCTTGAAAGTCCTTTGGAACTCACCACGGTCAAGGCCCGCATCTAATATAGTTCTACGTCAGAATTACTTGCATATTTTCCCAAACATGTCTACCCTAGAGAGAGTGTTTGGCTCACAGTGTATACGAAGAGACTAGGCAAGTGTGTTTGGTAAAGTCTCCTAGCAGCTCTGATGCCCTGCTAAGTTTGAGAACTACTGGTTTAGATAAATCCCTTCATCTTATGTCTGTGGAATTTGTCAAAGATCACTGCTGGGATCCAACCAGACAATGGGGCTGAAGTCTCTGGACCC